CTGTCCTGTGTCACCTGTGTTACCTGTGTCACTGACCTGTGTCACCTGTGTCACCTGTGTCACTGCCCTGTGTCACCTGTGCTACCTGTGTCACTGTCCTGTGTCAGGTGTGTCACTGTCCTGTGTCACCTGTGTCACCTGTGTCACTGTCCTGTGTGTGTGTCACTGTCCTGTGTCACCTGTGTCACTGTCCTGTGTCATCTGTGTCACCTGTGTCACTGTCCTGTGTGTGTGTTATTGTCCTGTGTCACCTGTGTGTGTCACCTGTGTCACTGTCCTGTGTGTGTGACCTGTGTCACTGTCCTGTGTCACTAATATAATATAATATAATATAATATAATATAATATAATATAATATAATATAATATAAATTGAATTATAATATTATAGATTATATAATATTAATAATTTTAATATATTATTAAGTTTTACAATTATTTATATTATATAGTATATTATTCTATAGTCTATATTTATAATTATTTATTATTATAATATTTAATTATTATTTAAATATATTATTTATATATCAGATATAATGATATATATTATACATTATATATGTTAATATGCAATTATATTATACATAATTTAGTATATAATTATATATACCTTATCTATATACACATTTATATCTATTTTTATATATATTATATAATATATAATATGAAATATGCAATATATAATATATATGGTTGTGCATAATTTAATATATAATTATATCTATACACATTATATATATACACATTTATATATATTTAAATATGTATTATATATAAATATATATATTATATAATATATTTATATATACATATATATGTATATATACTATAATATAATAAATGAGATGAAATATATTTAATATATATTAAATATATATAGATATAAATATAAATATCTATTTATATATATAGATATATATAATTTAATATATAATTTAATTTTACATATATACACATACTCACACATACACACATATATAATTACATATTACATGTACACATATATAATTAGATATTACATATACATATGGATAATTACACATTACATACACATATCTAATTAGATATTCCATATCCACATATCTAATTGGATATTCCATATACACATATCTAATTAGATATTCCATATCCACATATGTAATTAGATATTCCATATATCTAATTGGATATTCCATATACACATATCTAAATTAGATATTCCATATATCTAATTGGATATTCCATATACACATATCTAAATTAGATATTCCATATATCTAATTAGATATTCCATATACACATATCTAAATTAGATATTCCATATATCTAATTGGATATTCCATATACACATATGTAATTAGATATTCCATATATCTAATTGGATATTCCATATACACATATCTAATTAGATATTCCATATCCACATATCTAAATTAGATATTCCATATATCTAATTGGATATTCCATATACACATATCTAAACTGGATATTCTATATATCTAATTGGATATTCGATATCCACATATCTAAATTAGCCATTCCATGTATCTAATTGGATATTCCATATACACATATCTAAATTGGATATTCTATATATCTAATTGGATATTCCATATACACATATCTAAATTAGCCATTCCATATATCTAATTGGATATTCCATATACACATATGTAATTAGCCATTCCATATATCTAATTGGATATTCCATATACACATATGTAATTAGATATTCCATATATCTAACTGGATATTCCATATACACATATGTAATTAGATATTCCATATATCTAACTGGATATTCCATATCCACATATCTAAATTAGCCATTCCATATATCTAATTGGATATTCCATATCCACACATGTATCCCGCTCCCCATCTCGGTGCAGGTGGCAGCTCTGGTCCCCAGGAGCTGGCCGATGTCCCCTGTCCCTGCCAGGACAGCCCGTCCCAGCACGACTACGCCGAGCTGCAGAGCTTCCAGAGCGACTTCAGCTACGACAACCTGTGGGAGGCTGAGGAGAGGGAGCCGTGCTCGCGCTGCTCCCCGTGTGCCCAGCACATCTACCACGTCTAGGGCTGCTCCAGCCGGGGAAAAGCTCCGGCCTCTTCCCTCCCTGGGCTTCCCTCCGGGATCAGGGGCCCAGGGATGTGATGGGAACAGCCCTGAGCTCTGCTCCCTGTGTCCTGGCACCTCCAGGGCTCCAATTCCTGCCCCAAATCTGGGATTTGAGGAAGGGAAGAGCCCTGAGCTCTGCTCCCTGTGTCCTGGCAGCTCCAGGGCTCCAATTCCTGCCCTAAATCCGAGGGTGGGGGCAGAGCACAGCAGCCCCAGGCTCTGTGGGGCTGCAGGAGCAGGAGGGGGCTCAGGGAGAACAGCTTTGCCCCCTGAAAATCGAGGAGCAGAAAGGGTCAGGCTCCCTCAGGTGAAAGGGACTCGGTGTCCAGAGGGAGCAGCCACTCAAAAACCAAAAAGGAGCCTGGATTATTTGGGTTCTTCTCCCCAGAGCCCGCAGCTGGTCCCTCTGAGGATCCCCTGGGAGCAGCCAAAGCTTCCCCCGGTGAGCTCTGGAGGCTCAGGGCATTCCCCACCCTGGCACACACCCTGGCAGCTCCCAGGATTGTCCTCCTGCACCATCAGAGGCAGCAGAGAGGGGATGGAGGGGGAAAAACCCCGACCAGATCCGAGCACAGTGGGATTTCCCTTCCACTTTATGCCAGCAAAATCCCTTCCTGCCGGTGCCACCAAACCTGGTGCCAGTAAAAATGCCGGGTGATGTGTGCTCCCTGAGGTCCTCCCTGCAGAGGAAACCCCAAATTCCCCTCAGGGGATCCCTCCCAGCCCATCTGGGCTCACCCCAAACGCTGCCTGTGGAAATCCCCTGCAGGAGAAACCCCGGGATGGGCAAAGCCCCGCAGTCACAGCAGTGCCAGGGGAGCTGGCATGTCCCTGATGTCCCTCTGGGCCCCTCCAGAGCCAGGACAGGACACAAACAAGGGACAGAATCTCAGGGTTATGGTTTTCCAGCCTCTTAGGCCAGATCCTTCAGAAGGTCAGCAGCAAATCCCAATGTTTTCACCTGAGGCTCTAAATTCTTAACCTTTGTTCCCTGCAGAGGCTGCAAATCAAGCACAGCAACAAAACCTCTGCTTTGGTTCTTCCTCTGGTGCAACCACAACAATTTGTACTTGAATATCTCTGCTTGTATTTTCTTTTTCTTTTTTTTTTTTTTTTAGGAGGTATCCAACAAAGTTTACATGTAAAGTCTGAGTGGGTTCTGTGTATTTAAATGTAAATGTGGCTGAGTTGAAGAGTTATTTAATTTTCTAGCTGTGGCTGGTGTTCAGTTCTGTAAAAGGGGCACACTCAGGGCTGTGTGGGCTCGGGTCTTGGAGCTGTTGTTGTTTTCTCTCAGGTTTGCTCTGTTTTGGGGAGAGGATTTGTAGCTGTTAACCCCCCAAAGATCTATTTATTCTGAACAAAACCATGCTAGGGGACATCTCAAATGCCCTGGGAGGTCCCCATGCCCCTGAGTGAGCACTCTGAGGGTCACCATCATATTTGAATGCACTTACAACAGCAATGATCAAAGGGGGAGATCCCTTTTCTCTTGATATTAAAGTTCCTTGTGGATTTCTGTGAGATTGGACAATCCCAATGCCATCCCCTGGCATCATTTCCCTCTCTTTGCCATCCTCTGCTTTGATGAAGGTGAATTTTTGCCCATGTCCACTGCCCTGAGGGCTCTGGGGCCCATGTCCAGGAGGATTTCCAGACTCCTGAGTGTCTCCAGCTCGGGTTAATCCTTGACCAAAATCTCCCCAGCGTTTGTCAGGACCTGGGTTTGGGTTTTCCCTGTTTGGATGCTGGCCCAGGTGGGTTTCTGGCTGTAAAAATTCCCCTGCTCCTGCTTTTCCTCCAACACATTTCTCAGCAGACTCAGGATTTAAAACCTGGTTTATTTAGATCTGTCTGGGTTGCATTGAGGTGGAAATTGGTACCTGCAAACACATAAAAACCTCTTAAATCCCGACCCCTGAGCCCATCCTTCCCCTGGCTGCAGCAGCAATGTTGGATTTCTCTCTGCTCTCTGAATTTTAAGCCACCATTCCAAACTTTTTTTTTCCCTCTCGAAGAATAAACAGTGAAATTTCGGGGGAAAAAAATCAGAAGAAAGCAGAGTTTGTAATCTTTTCCTTTGGCTTTGGGAGCTGGGAGAAATTCCCCGTGAGAGCACACAGGGAGTAGCAGAAACCAGCCTGGTCCTGTATTTTTATTATCTTTACGATGCCATTTGAGGCTGGGGGATTCCTCGGGGCGCAGTTTCTGCTGCACAGGAAATTCGGGATGGACCCATCCCTGCTTTCCCGAATCCCAGAGATATTCGGGATCGGCTCCGGGCTGTGAGGAGCAACTCCCCGAGCGCCCTGAGGGTGGGAGAATCCACCAAAAAATGCGGAGCAAGCGGAGCTCCTGTCGCTCCCAGGGTCACTGCTGCCTCTGCTCGGGCTGGCACAGCATCAACCCCCAAAACCCCTCTGGAGGGCAGCGGAAAGCCGGGAACGGCCGCAGGAATTCCCACGGGAAGCTCCGCTCCGGTTACAGCAGCGAGAGGTGAAAGGGGAAAAAAAAAAATCCAAGCGAAGGAATTGGGCCAAAGCCATTCCCAGGCGAAGGAGAGACATCCCTGAGTGTCCGGGAGGGGTGAAACACGGGGAGCACCTGCCTGACTTTTTCATGTGCCTGGCACATGGGGAGGTGTCAGATGAGGGAGCTACGTGCGGGGCACAGCGAGGGAGGGATGGCACCGCTCCCGGCAGCGGCCTCAGGGCACCCACGGAGCACACAAAGGTCGCTGCCATTGTGCCAGCTCCTGGCTGCCCGCAGGAGGTCAAAGCCCCTCGGTCCCGGCAGCTTTTGTCTGCGAGAAATCCTTGGGTACATTGAATTTCTGAGGTTTCGTCTCAGTTTTGGCCGTGGAGAAAAACATCCCAGGCACGCTTGGCCTTGCTGTGAGGCGGAGGAGAGAGCTGAAAAGGTCAGAGAATAAACCAAGCGTTAAAATTCCAGGCTGCTCTCCTCCCTGGCTGAGCGTGGCAGAGGCTCCCAGATCACCCGACAGCAGCGGGACCTTTCCATGATTCCTCTCACTCCTGCGGCCGGCGGAGAGCATCCAGCTCCTGAATATTCATCCCACCCTCCCCTTGCAGGGCGGATCAAAAGGAGCGTGGAGCGCTCTTGGGGCAGGGAGGGGTGCCAAGTCCTGCTGGCATCTCCCAGCCGAGCTCTGAAGGGTCAGACAGCGAAGATCACAGACAGCAAAGGGTGACAGGAGCCTCCTGCCACCCCTGGGAGCGCTCAGCTCTCCTGGGAAGAGCACTGGGATAGAGGCATGGGGACAGCGGGGTATTCCCACTATTCCCCCCCAAATCCTTTGGAGGAGGAAGGTTTGGGGGCACTGAACCTTCCCTGCTGGAGCAGCTCAGGGACAGCCAGGAGGCACTGTCCCCACCCCAAGGGCCTGGTGTGGCTCCTCTGGAGCAGGACTGGTCCCCAAAGCCAGGAGAAGATGGGGAGGATTGGGAAAGATGCAGCTGTTCTGGGCACAGGCAGCCTCCACACCCCAGCCCTGCCCCTGGAGCAGGCCACGCACCAAAAGCAGCTTCAGCACGAAGGGGTTCGGCCAGAAACCCTCCCAGTTTCGGTGAAATCCTCAAGCCCTGGGCCAGACACAAACCATTTGGGCCAGGGGTAAATGCCGTGGATGCCAGCAGAGCTGAGGAGGCAGTGCCAGCTGTTCCTGGCTGCCGAGGGATGCGGGAGCAGGGAGGGGATGGAGGCTGTGCTGCTGGGCAGTGTCTCCTGCTCCCTGCTGTGTCCCGAGGAGCTGCCTGGGGCCGAGCCGGGGGCAGCCGAGCCGGGAGGGATCTCTGGGTCGGCTGCTGGTGACATGTGACAGCCAGGGGCAGGAACGGGGACTGAGCCAAGGACAGGGGACACAGCCCCATCCCCCGCCTGCTCTGTGCCCAGGGCTCCAAACGCTGCCCTTCTGCAGCCACACACACACAGGGCATTGATTTATCCTCCTGGAAAGCCCAGGGCTCCTTTAACGGCTCCCCACAGACAGAGGGATGGACACTGGAGTAGTAAATGAGACAGAACTTTATTAGAAGCTTCCAGCACATTCCCTGTGTTCTCCTCCTCGGCAGAACCCCTCTCGGTGGGTGTTCAGCTGCTCCAGCCCACGCAGAGCCCATCCAGCTCTAACTCCCAGTCCCACATCTCGCTGTGCCCCCCTGCCAGCAGCAATGCAGGGCCTCCAGCCCACCCCTGCACACGCCAAAGCCTGATGGCAGTCTGAGCACAAGGACAGAAACCTCTGTTCGTGCTCTCAGGGACAGCACAGCGATCCTGCCGATCCCACACCGCAGAGCCTCCGTGGTCTCAGTCCCGCACTGCTGCTGGTACCAGCCCGTGAGGGAAGGGAATTCCTCCTCAGCAATGCCCTGGAGTGCTGATGGAGGCTCTGGGGAGAGGGGCAAACGGAACTGTTCCATTTTCCTCTCACACTTTCCGTTCCAGGCCCCCTCAGCCCACGTCTCCCCCAGCCAGCCTTGTCTCCCCGGCCCCGGAGGTACAAAAGGAAATAAATCAAATATCCAGAGCCTTTCCCTGCCGATTGGCACAGCCAAACCCGCCCACATCCTTCTCCCTCCTGTCCAACATCCCCCTGTCCTCTTTCCTGAGAATTCCCTGAGCTCAGTCCCTTTCCGTGCTGCCCTTCCCACCCTGTGCGTGTCCCGCAGGGTCCCCCCGGCTGCCCCTTCCCCCGGGATGTGTCCCCTGTCCGTCCTGTCCCCGGGACATGTCCCCTGTCCGTCCTGTCCCCCGGGATGTGTCCCCTGCCCGTCCTGTCCCCCGGGATGTGTCCCCTGCCCGTCCTGTCCCCCGGGACGTGTCCCCTGCCCATCCTGTCCCCCGAGCGACCCCTGCCCATCCTGTCCCCGGGACATGTCCCC